ACCTCAAAGTCACTACTCTGAGAACAGGATATGCTTAATGCCATTGCAAAGCACTGCTCTCACTTAGGAAGAGTACAGGCTACTACAAACAGCAGCTCTGATTATAAAGACCCATAATAAACCTAATCATTGTTGTCATTAGGGATATATTGTTTCCCCTCTGAGGTTGAAGACACTTGAGATCTGATATGGATGAGATGTCTAGTGATTTGAGCCTCACACTACATTGAAAATGAAACTGAGATCCAGTAGCCATTTTGGATCTCATTAATATGAGACACTGGCCGTAGCTGCACTGAGGACCCGGAGAAGACAAGCTGCCATTTTGAAAGGGCACGTCAAAATGTGAATTGCCAACTAAGACAACCTTCTGACTCAGCTTTAGATAAGAGACAATGAAAGCGCAGGAGCATGAGAGAGCGAGAACAGGGACCCATGCACTGTGTTCGTACAGCTGCCTGGGAAACTTATCTCTAATAGTTCAGGGACCAAGGAATCATGTAGGTGTCATTTGAATGTATCTGTGTGAATATGAAAGAAATAATGTGTGAAATAATTAAATAAAGATGACAGGTTTTCACCTTGTTTCTGGAAAATGCAACTCTATATCTAAAAATGTTAACTTTTTTGAAATTGCAGATTCATTTCTTGGATAGGTGACTTTACTGTATACCTAACAATTGTGACTATTTTTTTAAATTACAACTTTATTCCTTACAATTGCACATTTATTTCTCTGAATTAGGACTTAAAATGTATATCTAACAATCGTGGCTATTTTGTGAAATTGAGTCTTATTTCCTCACAATTAAACAACTACAACTGAAACTACATTTATCATAACTGTTCCAATAAATACAAACAATGTGACTTGTACTTTTTTTTATTCTAAACTTTAATTCTATAAACTATTTTACTTTTATTCTGAGGTGGAAAAAGGCCTCTACAGGTTTTGTTTATCACAAAATGTCTGAGTATGTCTTGACAAAAATAGCAAAATCTGATTAAATTACCATTGATAAAACTTACTAAAATATGTCTCAATATATATTTTTTAAACGCAAGTTATATTCACACACATTTTTCCACAGACTCTCTCAGAAGCACACTCAAGCAGCCAGTCATTTATATATATATAAAAAAAAGAAGAAACCTTTTTCTGAAGAAACCTTAAAGGTGTGTTTGAAGCTGAAATTTTCTTTTTATAAAAGCTTAGAATTACAGACTTGTACAAAGCTGCTCTAGGCAACTGTCATGGGAAGTGAGCGCAATTTTGCCAGATACTGTACAAAAAGCCCACTTTGATGAATGCTGTATTTTACCAGAATGAAGCAATGTGACAAAATTTGATCTGTCACATTTAGCCAGCTTGTATCAATTGTTACATTATTTCCCCTTATAATCCCAATATGACATAAACCATCATCAACCTCATAAATACGCTTTCAGGAGTATGTATTTTTCTCACCTGTGCAATTTAGAAGATATCTCCACCAATGATTGATGTTTTGAAATAACAGGTATTTTGATAAGCAGCCTAAACCCTTTTAGAGGATGAAAAGTGTCCTTACTGATTTAAAAAAGGAAAGTGCCATAGACAAGATGAAAGAGGAGGAGACAGAGTAAAGAATTAAGGAGAAATGCATGATCTTTACAGAAAGGGAGTGTCAAACTTTTCGAGAAAAGAAAGATCTGACAGCATCCTGGATGGCCATCCCTATTTCCTGCAGCCTAGAAGCCAAACAGATTAGATCAGGGGCTTAGAAAGGCTTAACAGGAGAGAGAAAAGCAGAAGGGATGAGAAAGTCAAAGAGACGGGATAAAGAGATGAGAAGAAATAAACAGAGCTGTTCAGAGGTTTCAATACAGGATGTGACACTTCTCGAGCGATTTCCCCTTCAAGTGACTCTATTTCTCCATGTCAGCACTTTTTCACCAAAAAGCACAGCAGGACACGACAAGGCCACATTTGCCTCTTGAATAATAGCTTGACTCGTCACAACAGGAATCTGCCATCTTGCATTATTGTCTCTCACCAAAAAAGAACTGCACTGGTTCATTGTCATGCAGTAGCACGGTTCATAAAAACATACACACACGCATCTCTGCACCCACACACACTTACCGACAGTATACTTTGGAAATTGTCTGTGTTGGTGAATGATGTGGTGTGTGTGTGTGTGTGTGTGTGTGTGTGTGGGTCACAAAGCAGTAATGAGTAATTAGATGTAATGCCCATAGCAGCACAAATGCAGCTGAGAAAAACACACAGCTGGGTCCTTACAATACACACTCTCACCTGAGCCACCAACTCCCGCTGTGTGTCCACTCTCCACATACAGGATCTTTTTATTGTCTGTAAATAAAATTGGTCATTTTATTGACTGGTTGGTAAAAGGCTGGAACTGTGCCAAAAGTGTATGTGTGTTGCTGATAGAGGAGATTAAGTGGATTTTTCTGTGTGCTTGTGTGTATATTTGACAGGTGAGTTTCTTCTTAGTAGGGTGAATGTGAGCTAAAGAGCAAAGTGAAAGGTCATCACCACTCAACTGTCACTCAAAACCAGGGAGACTAATCGATCCCAGAGCCCCTGGAAACCAGAAAGAAGCAAAATACTCAATTTCCTCAGGATGGGCAATCATTCCCACTCTCATTTCTAAAGACTCTGGGGCTGGATTCACCAAACATTTTTAAGAATAGAATTCTTCTTAACTGCTATTTACATATTTGTTAGCTTAAAAAATGTTTTTCAAAAAAATATTTCTTAAAGACCTCCTGTAGTGAAAATCATTGTTGTAATGTTGTTTACATGTCTACCTAGTGCTTTTAATATGCTTAAAGACAAAACAAGTGCAAATTCATCAGTCAACACCACTGCTGGGCATTTTCTCCTTACATTTTTTATAGATTTATAAATGCAGTTTGATACAGCCTCTGTTTCCTACCATCACAGACATGTAACAGAGTGGGGCTTTTCATATCATTAGCAAAGCGTTATTAGCTAAGGATGTTGATTTTTAGAAGATGGCTGTCTGAGATGGTGAACAGGAACATGGTTTGTGTGACATTAGCAACACGTTATTAGCTGCTTGATAACGTATCAAGCCAAAGGCTAATGATATCAATTATTGTACGTGTCCGATGTTGAAGGGATGATCCTGTACAATTCGCTCTTCATGTTCTTCTTTGGAATCAGTTTCTGGTTCAAACATACAGGGTATATGGCTGTGATTGAGTGGAGGTGAGGACTAATTTGCATATTAATGTAAATAATATATCCATTTTTACTAAATGACGTAAGGGTGTAGATTTATATTCAAGCTGTTTTAAGGCATGAAGACATTATTTTCAAAGGGGAAAAATTTAAATGTCATTTTGATTATCAAAGATGAGTTTTAAGGGATCAAATTAGCAACTGCAGTGGAACTCTAGAATGTTTTTATTGTTTTTCTTAACATAGTTCTAAAGAGAAAACTTATTAAGAATTTGAATTCCTGAAATGAATGTTCCTAAAAATCATTGTAAATAACTTAACAGTTTGAATAACTTATAAGTTATTTAACTTCAACTTGATAAAATTCCAATTGGTCTTCAATCCGTAAAGTTTAATGAATTTATGGTTTGTTTCAAATACTAAGCATTACAATATAACACTTGCTACATGAAATACATGTACACAACTGACACTTCGCAAAGACCTGCCTCCCTTAGTTACTGTTGCTATGTTCGACAAGCCATGGCCTCTCATGCCACACACCATGTTCTCACGCAGTGAAAAATACATAGCGGATCAAAAAGGACACTGACAACGAGCCAACAGACAAGACACAGCAAAGTTTCAGCTTTCCAATTTTGTCATTTTTTAAGAAATTCGAATAATAAATACCGTTTTGTGGCTCTTTAAAGTGTCGTGACAGATCACTGTAGCACCTCTGTTCAAGCGGCATGTGAACCGATCATCTCTTCCTCTTTACTAGTTATAGCATGAAATAAGCATGAATGAACATCAGAAGGTATCTTGTACACACTATTTTTCAAGTTTAAGTCCACCTACTCTCCTGTCTGGTTTGTTTACCCGACAAAATGACAGATTCGGCTTTATGACTGGTCAGACTGCCTGTCAATTAAACTTCCGGCGAAGGGTCAATTAATCTGAAGTGAAAATGTAAACAGTGATTGTCATAATTATGCATAACATAGTATTTAAAAATTCAGTAACAACTCTACAAACAGAATTTAACTAGAGACCTAGTTCTTAATGTTGTTTTTTTTCATCAGCAAATATTCAAGAACTGACAAGAACTTCTTAAGACAAGATTTGAAAACTTTTTTTTTGCACTTAGGAACATTCTTACGAACTTAATTATTATGAAATGTCTTGACAATTTTCATCAAGTCGGCCCCTGGACCCTTTCTGCAATATGAGAGAAGTTAGTCTTGATGATAACTGCTTATAAAATTCATCTCAGGTAGCCACGAAAAAACTGAAGACTTGTTCATATGAGGAAAGCAATGAAAATGTCTGAACTGGACAGATGGTGACAGCTGGCCTTCATGCTTGATAACATAAATCAAGTCCTGCTACATTCATACATCAATGTCTGTGAGCGGCACTGCTGATCCAGCTTGCCTGTGCGACACAAACACACTCAGCATGTTACCACATATGTCCTCAGCACATTTCCACATGGCTATTCTTCCACTGGATTCTGATTCCAAGAGGTGCCTATTTTAGCTATTTAGTTTCATCATCAGAACACATTGACAACACATTAGTTTATTTGATGGGAAAAGAAAATTTAAATATAAATAAAGGCTGAGAGGAGGAAATCGACACTTATGGAAATCCCACACCTGCAGCTATTCTACTTGTTGCCATTAGATCCTCACAAGCAGGTCCTGCGATATCGGGTAACTGCTCGAGCAAACGGATCGGACATAAAGATTAAGTAGAACGGCGTGGTTAATCGATTGCTGAGAGATACCAGTCACTCACTCACCTTCCTGTACCGCCTGGAAGGGGTTGTTGGGCTCGATAAGTTTGATAGAATGGGTAATCCTCTCGCTCTGGAGGATGTCGTCATTCAAACTCAGGTCTGAAATGGCAAGCTGAAAAACCTCGTCGTCCCGTATGGCGTTCTGTTCAAAAATAGCTCCTGTTGGATGAAACAGAATGTCCGTTATTAATACATCGTTCTCATTGCCTCTCAAGCCATTTCACAGTCATTCCAAACTTTCATAACCAGTTCAGGGGTAAAAATGAAGGGAATGCAGATTCATCATGTAGGGCAAACTGTTAAAACTATATTATACTCATTCAGGTTATCGCGAACGCAGCATATAGCCATCAGATACAATTTACAGCAACTTCTTCACCTGTCAATAGCCAACGGCATTTCAGGAGTGAATTCAGCACCATGGAGAGCGCAAGTGCTGGAAGCACTGTAAATATTCTACACGCATCCCTAATTTGTCAAGGGCATTTTGCAGTGTGTGGAAACACAGTGGGTTGTAAGCCTACAGGAAGATCTTTTAAGTCAAGGGGATCTTCTACGTGACAAGGTGCATCCATGGCAAATATGAGCTGTTTTTATATGTTGCTGGAGTTTGGTGTGTACTTGAAAAGTCATAAAAAGTGAACAGGTCATACAAAATATCCTAGACACATGAATGAAATGGAAAAAATTTATGAAGTAAGGTATTATGCTCATATTGCACAGCTACTTAAAAAATAAATAAACAACTGATATGAAGTATTGACTTGAGAAGTATTGACTAGATTAGCTTCCACAAATGAAAACAATCGGCTTAGCAACAAGACATCCACTGATGCAATATTACAATGTTAATTAAAAAAACGATTCATTTGAAATCCAGATGTTTCGAATTGCAAAATGCTACCAAAGTTGCACTGATATGAAAAGAGAGAGACAGGAAATGACACAAGAGGGCTATGGCCATTGGTGAAATATCCCAAGTAAAAATATTTTACTCTTCTATGCCACGTTTGACCTATTAGATTCAGGTATTCCAGTGGACCATGTACTAAGCAGGGGAATTTTTTCATTCAGCTGTTTATGGATTAATCCTAGACATAATATTGCACAGAGCGATTTAAATGTTGACTTCACATGACTGAGTAACCCATAAAGTGCTGTTTCACTAACAAATCCTTGACACTTGGAAATACAGCCCAGTATTAAATCAGAATGTGTCTGGACGCAATCAATAAGACTGATGTGCACAGGACTATAAACAGTGACCCACTGATGATATGACATATTGAGTTCAAGGTGACAGTGATAAAATGCACAGAGCAGCCAGCTTGAAGTGCCAAAGGTGTAGGAGAAGCAAATAAGGCTTTATTTATTTACATGCACAGTTAGCCTTTAACAAACAGCCGCTGAGGCATCATGCAGTGCACTGAGGCAACAAAAGCCTCAGCAACCAACATGCGCAGGTCAAAGACAAACAAGGATGTTTAAGGTTATAAAAAGGAGAAATCTTTTCCTAATCTAGTTTGAAACACGTTCACAAAGTTCTTATAGAGCCAGCAATCTTTGTATCCATTCTGGTTTTATACATTTTCTTTAAGAACCTTTATACCATTTGCTACAAAATTAGTTTGATTTCATTATTCTAATGATTCATGCGGTGTACCCAAGAAAAAAAAATGCTAAAATATGTTTCTTACACATTAAATTCAAGTCTAAAAGGGTCTAAAAGAGACATCTACGTTTTATGGTTGTCTTGTCACATGAGAACAAAATGGCTTCCTGCATGTCTGTTACGCCACACAGACTTTGTTTGGCAGAAAAACGTTTTTCAAATATGAATAATATTTCAAAACAAAGTATATTCAGGATTAGATTAGGCCAAATTATTTCAAAATTTATTTTTTCCAAAAAAATACACCACACAACTAGAAGATTATTATCCACTACCTCGCTTAGTTGGGGACGCTTGACTGATTGCACAGAATCATCAATTAACTGACTTCAGCATTATTAACAAACTATTTTCCTGTTTAACACTGTAAAGCTGCTTTGACACAATCAGTATTGTATAAAGCGCTATACAAATAAAGGTGACTTGACTTGATTTACCTAAACCCACTAACACCCAGGGAGAAGATATAATCTATACCAATGATAAAAATTTAAATCAGATCATTTAGACCGAATTAGATAGTGAAGCAATAAAAATCTGAGAAGAATTATTCATGTAGACTAACTGGTAACTCATAAAGTCAGAGCATGAGATAACAGCAATAAAGGTTAATTCAGTTAAAGTGTGAATTTGTCTTATAAAAGTGTCTACGCTTCAATGTTTGGGACTTAATGTCATCCTTCTTTGCAACTAAGCTTCAAATCCAATTTTGAGTGATCCTGGTGATGAGGAGAACAGTCAAGCGCACAGGATGATGGAGAACATCCACTGCATACAAAAGAGAGGTTCCTACCAACAGAAGAGCACCAGATTTATAACGCTTCATGTATAACACATCAGAATACGACAAGAAACAGTTTTGTTTAGCCTATTACGATCACATTTCTCAAAGTAACATATTTAGGGGTGCATGAGTCAACATTCTGAAGTCAGCCAGCAAACCAATTTCGTTCCCAGGATAAGTTACCGGAGAGGACGGAATGCAGCGTACTGCCACAAGGCTGCCAAGCTCGCTAACACAAACGACTGATCAAACAAAAGCGTCTGAGAAAAATCTTATACGCCAGGAAGACAGCAGCGCAAGCTGAAGATCAGTTAGGAAAAGCCACGCTGGCACGAGAAGAGACTTGTGGCGCGCTCAGTACCTCAATGAATGAAATTAAAATTTCCGTCACGTTCAACAGAAAGTTCAGGCTTAAGGCTGGGGAGGGGTGGACTGGAGTTAACCCTGAAATAGACGGAGAATATACGTCTCGTTTTGCTTATACGTGTATCTAAAATCATCCGTGGACCCTACGCGTTCAGCACCACCTGAAATGCACTTTGTGGACCTGTTTGCTAATGTTTCCCGGCAAGTTAAAGCCGTTTATCAAATGTCAAACAGTTCAGGGGAGCGAATACGCCTTCTATCAACTCTAATCTGCACGCTTCCGACTTTAAAATACAATGCACTGAAGAAAGCCATCCGTGATTCAGCGCGTCCGTCCGAGACCGTGCTTACCGATGTGAATAATGGAGTCCGCGCGAGCTGAGCGGCACTGCAGGATCCATAAGGAGAGGCTGATCACGAGCAACTCCATCTCCAGTTCTCACCCCGGTGTATCATCCACGCTTCTACGTCGTTTCAAAAATCCAGTTCCAGAGAGAAAAAGAGCGTCCGCGAGAACGACCACTGTGGAGGAGATCAATGCGTCACTTCTATCTTTCTCCGAGATCTATTCAAATTGAAAGTGAGAGGAGATGTTCGCGGGGAAAAAGAAGCTCTCAAGGGAAGGAAAGCAGAAAAGGAGGGGTAGGAGAGCAAGGGAAACGACGGGGGTACCACGATCAGAGGCAAAGCAACGGGTCCGTGCGCTTCAGCTCTCAGTGTGGTTTGGATACTGCTAACTGCAGCGCAGAGAGAGACCTCTCTCTCTCTCTTTCTCACTCACTCACTCTCTCTCTCATAGCTAGCAGTCTTTCGCCTTTCGCTCCACGTGATCGAAGAATCGAAAGATCGGAACGGTACGGTAAAAACCTAGGAGAAATTAAATCTGCGCGCACCGGAGAGAGTCCCCAGAGCGGAGGGGCGGCGGGCGGTCTAGCTCAGCCCTGAGAGCGTGAAGTTCGGCCCGAGCACCGGGAAGGAGAAATCTCTTCAAACATTCGATACTAAGCTATGGTTTTCAATTGAGAGGCTGGTTTTGAACTCTGGGCTGTTGCTGATACGGACGGTTCAGATTTACCACAGAAGTTCGCCGCGCCGATATAGCGACTCCAGAAGTGAGAAGAGCGACCGCGAAGAGTGACCTCCATTTCTCGGTGGATATTTTGCCCGGTAACGTTAGTGTCTATAGTGTCCCGCAAGCACCCTGAAAAAGAAAAGAAACGGAGTCGGTAGCAACCGCGCAACGAAGGAAAACAAGTGGGTATTTGAGACTGAATGACTGTGACTGACTAACGTCGAATCTATACTATGGCGTAAATTACACGACACATTTTTACAACAGCAAAAAAAAAACATTACACAGATGAGGTGAGTCGTTTAAACGATTCTGGCGTCTCGTGGAGTTAATTCTATCTCCCATCACTGAGAGAGAGAAAAAACACCTAAATGGGACTCGAGTCACGTTTTTTGTAGAAATGTTCCTGAATACTTTTCTGACATTTTCTCTAAGTAGGATGGAAAATGATAACCTTCACCTTACAATTAAAGGATATTTCTTGAGACGACACTAACAGAAATATCTCTTAATTGTTTGGTGAAGGCTATCAGGTCGTCAGCTCGGATCAGTCGGATTTGGACAGCGCCACAGCGCCCCTCTGGTCAATCGGAAGAACTGCCTGTCGCGAGGCGTTCTGAGAACTCTACAGATGAGAGATTTAGCCTAGTTCTGCTTCATAAAATGAGCAGAATGTAAACTTTTGAATGCAGTGAATGTATTATAAGTTCATTGACTTGTTTTTTGCCAAATGTTTATTTTATTTTCATTTCAGTTTCCTTTCCACAGGTAAACGTGAATCATTAAAAAAAATATTTTTAATGAATTAAAATCTTAGCATATTAGCTAAGTGAAAGAAAATGATAATTAACAAAACAAATCTTAACATTTTCACTCTCACAGATTTAATCTTCAATGTGCTGAATCCATCATATAAAAATGCGATATGATATATAGAAACGAATGGGAACTAAAGGAACTAATTTTTTTTTTTGCATAATATATAATAATATAATTTCAATTCATCCCTCTTTTTTATAATGTAAGTAACCATGGCAAATGCATGTCATATGTGTTAACATGGAATTAATGTGATAGAATCCCTTACTAACCATATATCCAGTCTTTAAACTTCATTGTAATGACAGTGTAATGGCAGTAACTTTTGCATGATGTTCTCGTAAGCATGCTGAGAAGAAAGCTAACTTCCTCATTTACATGGAGATGAGCAGGTCTTGAATCAGCAGAAGGACATCAGCTCATCTCCTTTTTGTTATCTACACACATTTGTAAAATCTGATGACAAAAACAAGACCTGCTACATCTTTACCTGACACCGGTTGGGTGACTACCTCTGTTGATGTACTGGAAACAAGCGGGGGAATTACGTCAGTGTGGAATAATCTAGATAAAACTTTTGTCCCACTGCAAAAATAACAAATTACATGTGAAATACATAAAAATTTGGGGTCAGTAAGGTCGGTAAAGATGCATTAAATTGGTCAAAAGTGACAGTAAAGACATTTATAATGTTATAAAAGATTTCTATTTCAAATAAATGCTGTTCCTTTGAACTTTCAAAGAATCCTGAAAAAAAATGAATCATGTTTTCCACAGACATATTAAGCAGCACTTGTTTTCAAAATTGATAATAAGAAATGTTTCTTGAGCTCCAAATCAGCATATCAGAATGATTTCTGAAGGATCATGTGACATGAAGACTGGAGTAACGGCTGCTGAAAATTCAGTTTTTTGCATCACAGCAATAAATCACATTTGAAAATATATTAAAAATAGATGGCACTGTTTATTTCTAAATGCTTTACACAATCCTGATTTTTGTTGTGGAATGTCAAAAGTTTCTGTAGCAATTAAAAAGCAACAAAAGCAGTCGATTGAGCTTAACTTGTATTGAATCTGGAACATTCCTTTAACAGCTTTTCAACCCAATGTAGAAAATCACTCTCTCTCTCTCTCTCTCTCTCTCTTAATCTAATCAGCACCTAATGCTTGTGCAGGTGGATATGTGGTTGTAATCTGAACTAATGATAATTAATAGCTTGCCTGACTTCACTGAAGCATGTGGTGAGTACTGAATCTGACTCAGCACTGCTCATAGTTAAAGTGACTATCCTCAAGCCTGTAGGTTGGATTAGTGTGCTAATCTCTGTTTGGGCTCTGCAGGCTACATAATCCAGTTAGACTGGGTGTTAACGTAACAAGATAGAACAGCTCGTGTCACAATTTATTTGGTGAATACTAGACTCATGCCTCAGGGCCTCGGAAGAGGGGATGGAGAAAAGGGCAAAGAGCAGAGACCAGTTAAAAATACACCAAAATACTTTTATGAATTAGTTAAATTCCAAATTTAGATGTGTGAAATGTTATGTTAATGATCCAAAGGAATATGATCATTGTAAATACTGAGAGAATGAACAGCTTAAGCTGCGGTCATGTTTACCGTTGTTAGGCAAAATCAGATTTTCGCTTGAGGGTGAAAGATTTCCCCACACATATTTCACGACCAGTTCAAGTTGGTCACACCGCATTGACCCACAGAAAGCTGCTGCATGTGAAAGTAACTTCTGTGTGAGCAGTGCTTCATACACAACTGACAATAGACAACGGACCATTTTTGAGCGGATTCTGACTGGTTGTCAGTGTTTTTTGAACAAATATTACTTGGAAAGTGATTCCAACAATCTCAATGTTGTTCCCCTGTGCCAATCATTATCGTTGTGGTGTGAACTAAATTTAGAATAATTTTCAAAACTATACATTTACTGTTATCATTGTAGTTATCGTCCTTGGTGTGAATGGGCCTTTAGACTGGACACGCTAGATTTATAAAGCACAAAACCACAATTTCAGATCACTCACCAGCCACATCTGTTTCTTCACCCTCTCAGATGTATGTGAAACCAGGCATACTCTCCTTCAAGCAGTTCAAAATCAACCTGAAGGATGTAAGAATCGTTAAGATGATCAAACCATGACAATCAGACAGCATCAAAAGGACAAGGCCAACTAGGCCAGTCTTAGAAGCTTAGATCAACACCTCAGATTCATACCCAATACAAGGGACGTGAGAAAACAAGCTGCGAGGATGAAAAGAAACTGAGAATATAGAGGAGATGAGTGGTGTTAAGATGCTGTCCTACCAATTTATGAGCCGTGACATGTACATAATTAAAGCCGATCAAAGGGAAGCAGACATGTTTGGTGCCCCCAAGCTCCCCTCCAGCTGTAGCCTCATTAGTGGACTACCATTATGAGAGGATAAAAATATTACAGTGCATATTACCATTACACAAATACACAAGGTTCTTAAACAGTACAATAAACAGTCACAAAATGCTAATTAAAATTGAATTTCAGTCAGATGGTGGCTAAATGTTAACATCTGGAGTCCTATTTGGGGCGAAGACATCACTTGCGGTCAGAGACAATAGAAAATCAAAACAGTGGAACACAGATTAAAAAGAACACAACAACAAAAACACCGGCATTGCTTAATATAACCTTCTGCAACAATGTGGCCAAACAATGAATTCACCCCATTGAATTCATTGTCCGAACCACTGATTATGATAATTATATGCTTGACAACATTTGTTTAATTAAGCTCATTATTTTTACGATCTCATCACGCAATCTGTAAAATAACACCACATTTCCTGGTTTCACATGAGTAAAAAAACATCTTTAAGTTAAGAAACAGTTTAAATAAGCTTCAAATTAATACACTGTGATAAGATTCTAACTCACAGATAAGTGTCATTGATGGCCATTATTTGATTTCAGTTAGACTGGCAAGCCCATGCCTACTACAAGTCGCACTGGATAAAAGCAACTGCTAAATGACAAATTAGTAATTAGTAACGGGGTAAGCAACAGACAACCAAGATAAAGTCATTCCAAACGCACTTGAGTTCTGTGGAGTCTGTTTAACAGGAAGCCTGTCAGCTCTTGTTAGGATACTAACCGCACCAGCACAGTGGTTCATCCATGAACGAGGCGAGCCGGTGGAGTGCGTGAGCAGAGCGGAAATTGTTGTCTCATGTGCTCCAGTCAATGACCGTTCAGCACTCAAGCAGCTGTTCGAAAGAGAATGCATAGTTCCTCTTTGTCTCTTCTTCAAACGGTGGTGTGAAGTTGTTATTTAGATGAAGAGAGTCAGTCATTTCAAGCTCTCAAGGTTTTCTGGAGAGAGTAAATAAGACCTGGCATTTGAATAGATCAAACATGCATGAACACCCGCCGCCAGGTACCAGGGCCATTTTTCCAAATGATATGTCAAGAATTTATTTATTCCAGCAAATGAGTGCTGCCGTGTGCATCCAAAAGTCTTGACGCACAAAAGCTGCAAACAACCATTAATTATCATGAAGGTGAACTTTTCAGAAACAACGTCAGAATCTTTATTCATTCTTTGAATGTCTCTGTCTGAAGCTACTCTGAATGCCTTTCCCTCTATCTCATTAGAATGTGCCATGTTCTTAGTCTCTGAAGCACATACTGTAAGTTTCATATTGTACTGGAGTGCTACAACTAGTAACTAAATTACTAAAACTCAAGTTTCAACTCAACATTTTTCAATCACTACTACAACAAAGAAGAACAAAATAAATGAAAATAGAAAGATAGAAGTG